CACCACATTAGCACTGAAGTTGTCAAACACTGTAGGCACATAATCCTATCAAAACAACACCAAAAAGGGTATAATCACAACACGAAACATGGAAATTAAAACATCATAATTACAAGTGTGAAGTCCATTCATGATAGGAAGAATAAGAAGAAGAAGAAGGAGAAGAAGCACGAGACATAATAATAATGTTTAATCCTTACAGTAGGGAAGGTGTTGCTAGTGTAAGAGATGAGCATGCATGTCTTGCCAACAGCTCCATCCCCAACAGTGACACACTTGATGAACCTAGCTGTGCTCATTTTTCTGGTACTAGCTACCTGATCTCCTTGTTTTCTTCACCCACTTATTCCATTCATACAGGAAGGTAAAGGGTATAATCAAGGAGTATGTATCTTTTACCTACCTTTCACAAATATCCAAAAAGACTCGAAAGAATAAGAGAGAGGGGATATGCTGTGTTGGGTTTGAAATTTGAATAGGAATGGAGGGGAGGGTAAGGTGAGGTAGGCTTTTAATAAGGTTGAGCAACTAAGCAGCACTACCCAACTTTAGCTGGACTTTCTTTGCTTTCACCATGATTGCACAAATGGCTTTCTGTTTCTTTAAGGGGAAGGCCGAGGGCTCAAGACACTAACAAAGGGAGTGTTTGGTGCTAGTGTTAGTTGGTTAAGTGTTGGACAAGGGAGTCATATTGAATCATGAATACGATGGAAAAATATACACACATTGCTTAGCTAGACAAATTATTATCATGAATGTAGGAATTAGAGTAAAATACAAAACCCCAAGTGAAAAAGCAAGTCTTATGGAGTCACTGGCCAATGGAGGCATGGGGCCTCCATGCTACCAAGTCGATCTTTGGACACTTCGTCTCTTGATTGAATGATTCGTCCATGACTCTTGTGTGTGAGAGCTTCAGCTCGATTGTATGGAGAAATGAATGCACAGCAGGGTAACACAGCAGAAAGCAGAGGAAAGAGCCACCTTTTTGTGGGTGTCACCATTATTAGTGGACAAATTAATTTATAACCAAGTGTGACAATGGGGCTGGTCGCTAGCATGCATTTACACTCTAAAGCTTACTTTTGATAAACTAATAACATTTTCCATGGCATAATTAAGAAAATTGTGATACAAGCATCAACTAATTATGGAGACATTTATCACATGAGAAATGCTTGCCCCATTATCCAGTGATTGTTCTAATTTGAACTGGATGGCAAGTGACTTTATCTCTTTATCTTGGTCTCTTCTACCATGGATTTGCATGTGTCTGGTTTGATTATGGATGAACTATTCAAAGAAACTGAAAAAAATACCTAATTTCATGGGTGTGTGTGGGGATTGAATTTTGAACTGGGGGAATGTGTAATGGTTGATGTTGTTTAATACATAGTAGGTGGCAAGTTTTCCATAGCTATTTTCAGCATTGATTTCTATTTGGATAAATTGATTTTTTAAACATTGGATTTAAAATTATTTTTTATATATTTTCAGATTGTTTGGATGTTCTAATATCAAAAATAATTTTATAAAAATAAAAAAAATATTATTTTAATATATTTTTAAATAAAAAGCTTTTAAAAATAATTATTATATTTTCAAATAAAATATATTAATTTGATGTGTTACTCAGGTAACAAGACTAGCCTTGAAAACTTGATTTAAAAAATTTAATTATCCAACAACTCCGAGAATCTCATTGTTAGATTTTTGTCTCATTAGTTCGAGATTTCAGCCTATTTTTTCTTATGTAAAATGGCTAAAAGTTTCAGATAAATGTCGGGTAAGCAAATTGTTGTTATGATGCTTAATTAATTTTAGAAAATTGAAGTGATTTTTTTCCCATGTAAGGTATATTAAATTCTATTTTAAGAAATATGGAGACATGCCTTTTTTAGATGGAAAGTTTGGTACTTTTTGCAAAAGAAAAAAAAGTAAAAATAAAAATAATTAATCTTGATTTATTAAAAAAAATTACTAAATTGTTGATAATGCATATTTGTCTTAATAGATATTGCTATATTCCAAGTATTATTATTTCAAATTCCCTACCTTATATCCTCAAATATAATCTAAAAAGCTCTAAGTATAAATTTTATTTTAAGCAAACTATATATATGTAAATTTTATTTTAAGCAAACTATATATTTTATTTTATCATAAATAATATGTTCCCACACAACCAAAAAATTAATAAATATAAATAGAAACATCGATAAAATATTTCTGTCGATAGATTACAATGAATTTTACTAATAAAATATTTCCTCGCCATATCCATATCCATTGGTAAATCATCGACGGAACTATTCTTTTGGTATATATCAAGAGAATTATAGTGAAAAAAAAAGATTAAAAAAATCAAAAAGTATGATGACGTGTTATTTATATAGCGTCATTACTGGTGGTATTAATATCGTTGGTAAAATTAGTCCATAAACTCGTCGATAAATTATTCCTTTCTCCTTAACACTATTCACTATGTTAATTATAGAGGATATCACCAACATATTAATTTCATCGGTATATTACAGAGAGCTCTGAAACTATTGATCACTTCTTAATTGTATTATTCATGTTGTCAATTACATATGGGATCATCGACATATTAATTTTGTAGGTAGTTTTCAGAGAGTTTTAGAACTGTTTGCTTTTTAATTGCACTGTTAATTATTGTTCTGTATAGACAAAATCACCAGCGAATTAAAAAGTTATCAGTGATATTTGGAGGGTTTCTGAAAATTTAAATTAAATATTATAGATGGAATTACTAACGAATTGCAAAGTCATTGGTGATATTTGGGAGGCTTCTGAAATTTTTTGATTAAATTGAAAATTTAAATTAAATATTAAAGACAAAATCACCGACAAATTGAAAAGTTATTGATAATATTTTGGGGGTTTTTGAAATTTTTTTATTAAATTAAAAATTTTAATTAAATAATATTGATAGAAACATCAATAAAATGATTAAAAATATTAATATTTAATTATTCGTTAGTGAAACTATTGGTAAAATGCTCCAATAAAAAACTAAAATCTCTCATTCTATAACAAACGTGCCTATTCTTTTTCTTCTTCTTTCTTTTTCTTTAAAAAATACCAACATTTTTTTCTTTCTTTCTCTTCTCTTCTCTTCCACGCGAATATATGTTTTCTCCTATTCTTTTCTTTCTCTTATCAATTTATTTAATTAATATTATGAATTTTTTTCTTTTTTCTTTTCTCTTTTCAGCTTCACTCACAATTAAACTAAGATAAGATTTTTTTTGTGTTTTTTTTGCATTATATTTTTTTTTTTTAAATTTTCTTGTTTTTAATAATTGTATGAATATTGTTGTATGATTTGTTTTTATATGAGATCAATTTTGTTGGATTTTAGTTGGATTTGTTTTCAATTCTTTTGTTCTATTTGGATTAAATTAATTTATTTGTAGTTGGATTATGGGTTATAGAATAGGTTTTCTAAGTTAGGTGAAAATATTTTTTAGTTGATTTATTTATTTGTTACTATTATTTATTTTTTAGTATTATTGAGTATTACTATTTTTCTACTTTTGTTAAATAGATTTTTTTTAAAATACTTTTAAATAATCTCTGAAGGTATTACCAACAGGTTAAGTTCGTCGATATATTTTAAAGAGTTGAAAAACTTATTACAAATACAACTGTATCATTGTTTAATCATTGACAAAATTGTATTTGGTATTTATGTCTATTATATGGCAAACTTTCCGGAAAAAATAAAATAGATAAAAAAATAAATTTGGTATGCTTTTCTCGATAGTAAATCCATCAGTAATAAAATTATTAAAGACTCGTTAATAAATAAAAAATTACCAATAAGAATTTTATTGAAGGAGTATTTTTATTTATGAGCGCGGTAAAATTCATTATTAATAAAATAATAATATAAATATCAAGAGAAATTTTATTAATATATCTAAGAATTCTAGTAGTCCCCGTGGAGATTTTCTTTTATGAATTACAATATGAACATTTAAACTTTATTTTAATTAATCTAACTGTACCATCAAAATTTAATTGCTTCTCGGTCACTATATTTCTCGAGGGTAACACAAATATTTTGTCTGACACTTTTATGGTAAAATCCTATCTTAATTCCTTTTACGGCTCGCAAAGCAAAGCAATTAGGTAATTAACTAGATCTAGTAGACAATTAAAAGTTTATATTTATATTTTATTTTTAATTCTTTTAGTCTCATATTTCTGCGCCAAGAGATTGGTTCGGAGTGAACCCATCAAATTAACCAATCAGATTTTATAACTATGGATTCATGATTATGATGATAATTGACAAATAGGGTCTTGCCACGTGGTACTATTAAGCAATACTGGAAATTAAAAACAAATTTATATACAGCAAATTCTTTTTCCTGTTATGAACTATTTATTTAATATAAGCCCATGTTTGGCTCATTGGAGAATATTGAACTTTCCTTGAATGTCTAGATATCTTAAGTAGCCAAATGATGCTTAATACAGGCTTAGATTTATTTGAATTACCTATTATAAAACTACCTTCGCGACAGGTTTAGTATTAATTACTTATACTTGTTAATCTTCATATGAGCTACCTAAACCCTAATCAACCACTCTAAACTACGTCCCTTTGTCTCTTTTACGGTGGCCTGCCATCTTTTCATGTGCTCTAGACAGATTAGACTACAGTTTGTTCTTCATCTTCTTGTGTAACATATAGTATTATATATATTTATACAAACATCTCGGTTTCACTTAGCCCACGCACACACACAAAAGAAAAATCTTTACGTGTAAGGCTTGATTTCCTTCCTTATTTCTATTCGTTAGTGTACTAGGGCATGTATTGGTTCTTTTGGTGAATAGGGTATGTGTTGATTGGTTTGATTTCTTCGTTCTTAGATGCTGTGCGCATGTTAATTTCATGAAAAAGAATTGTTCGTCTCTGCTACTGTTTTCGTGTGGTTTCTTGATATAGTGTTTGGTTTTTAAGGATGCAAAGAGGTAGAGACAACAACAGCCGTGTCGCGATGCATCAGGCTTGCGCATCGTGCAAGCATCAGCGAAAGAGGTGCGCGGAGGATTGCGTATTGGCACCATATTTTCCGGCGGAGAGAATGCAGGAGTTTCAAGCTGTCCATAAGGTTTTTGGTGTTAGCAATGTCATTAAATTAGTGAAAGATGTCGATAAAGAGAGACAAAGGGAGACGGCGGACTCGTTGGCGTGGGAGGCATCTTGCAGACAAGATGATCCCGTTTTAGGTTGCTATGGAAAGTTCAAGAAAATACAGGAAGAACTTGAGCTGTACAAAATGCAACCTCCATTGCCAAACCAAAACATATTAAGGCAGCGACAAGCCGGCGCAGCGTATAACAAACAGCCTCTGCTGCTTGCATGGAATGCTGCTCATGGGATAAATAATAGGGGGAACGGCATTGGAGGAGGATTGGCTAACAATAACATGGCAAATTATGGCCATGACAATTCGAGTTTGATTTTTGATTCAGTCCCACATAGTTTTCCCTGGCAGTATGTGCGCGGCCAAGACAAATCAAACCCAGAAAGAGATGCTACTTCTCTTCTTCTTCCAATCCATCCTTCGCCGCCGCCGCCGCCGCAGCATCCCTTTTCGGTCAATGGATTTAATCAACAACAACAATATTACCATCCAGGTAATTATCTATCTATACACATGCGTGTAAGCACGAGTGAGGACGCATGCATGCGTGCTCACACTCAGGTATTTGGTGTAATTACTGTCAGCAAGTATTTTCTTGATCAGGAAATATGCATTTGTGGTTTATCCTCGTATTACTCTCTGGAATCATTAGGGTTTAACTTATTAATTTCATAGTGATGAGATATGCATGCGAGTGATCCCTTGTGAAGGAGTCTTGAAGCGTTTGTGAACTTCTTTACTTTTTATGTTATCAATTCTTCGAGAAAAAACAAATATTTGGTCACATTTTGATTCTTACCGCTTGGAATTGTAAGCAAGCTTTCAAGATAAAACTTCATCAAAAGCACCACTAGAACAAAAACATAGTTCAAATACTTATAACTCATGTATCTAAACACTTGTTTTGTAATTGAAACTTGAAATTAAGTAACAAGAGATTATGTTACATTACTGAATCCTTCCTTGTTAATTTCCAATTCCTCACTTTTCAAAGTTCACACTCTACAATTATATCCTCCTTTTTAGTCTTTTTTAATTAATTTAATATATTATGAAGTGTTTGATAGTTTGGGAACTTTTGTTTTTAAGTGTTGTTTTAGTTGAAAAAATATCAATTTAATATTTTTCTAATATTTTTTGATGATTTTGATATGCTTATATAAAAAATAAAAAAATAAAATTATTTTGATGTATTTTAGTTATAACTCTGTTTGGAATTGAGAATAAACCTTTTTTTTTGTTAAAATTTGATTTTTTTAACAAATTATCTTTTTTCAAGTGATTTTGAATTGTTTTGATATATTCATGTAAAAAATAAGTTAAAAAATTATTTTAATATATATTTTAGTAAAACATATATTAAAAAACAATTTTTATCATACTTTCAAATGCTCCGTATATATCTAAGCACATGCTTTTACTGAGAATGGGCTGTTCACAAATCACAAAAGGATTCTATCATTGCATTATGATATTTGTTTTCCCTGAATTCAAAATGGGATATAATATCATCTGTGTTTTGTGTTTAGGACAATTTGGTTCATTGAATGGCAACCCAATGGACAGCACACTCTTCATGGGAGAAGAAGATGGACCATAGATCCTTCTAGCTAAGCTTGGCAGAAGAGAACACAGGAGGATAAATATTCATAGTTAACCACCTTGAACTGGCGGCCAAGACAGCAGAGTTTAATGAGCTTCTTTTCCTACCTTGTCTGAAGGCAGAGATTTCCTCATTGTTCCCTGCGTCCTCTCTAATCTTTAATTTATTTAGTAAAAAAACATATATGTATAAAATAGAAATTCAGAAGAGTGCTGTTTTTTTATAAATATTTTAATGTTTAAAAACATGGATTGTTTTCATGTAAACAGCATTAATTAACGAGAGATTTAAATCAAACCAGATTTATGCACTTTCTTTCTTTTTTTTGCCAAATCTTTGAGAATACATAGAAATTCTCAGGAGTCAGAACCTATTGCTTGATCTTAATTAAACCATATGTATTAATTGATATATTACATTAAAGTGGATATGATCTTTATTGTTATTTTCATATATCATTTTTGTTTTTAATATCATGGTGAATTATTATACGCAATAATTTGAATGAATGAAGTATAAAGTACCAACCATATAACTCTAAATCCGTTGATTAATTCTTTTTAGGGAAATTACTGTAGGGAGGCAAGTCAATTCTTTTCTAAAAAGAAATTGGAAGGATTTTTTAATTTATCAATACAAAATATTATTGCTTAATGCTAAACGATTGATAATCATAGAACGAATTCAGCCACAAGCAGCAAAAACTTTATAATATATATATATATATATTATAACTGATAAGCATATATCAAGTGATTTTTATTGGCAACTAATTAACGAAATTAGCTTATCTCTGCCCACAGTTTCAAGACAATTCTCTTCTTGCCCGTTTGGACGATTTTTTATTTTTATTTTTATAATGTGTTTTAGCAGGTTCTTTTTTTTTTTTTTGAAGGAAACCTCCAAACGCAAAAAACGAAAAGCTTGACTTCAAGAAGTCATAAGTTCAAAATTCACTTCCACTCCCTCAAAAGTTAAGAGTTAGACAGGAGAAGCCACAGCCCATAATGTTGTAATCAACCGCAATTGAAGTTCAAATTCTTCCAAGAATCATGGAGACAACCCCCCTTTGTACTAATGCCAACAACTTGATTCCTTTTATCATCTCCTTGTGTTTCCTCGTACCTTCTGTTCATTCTTTTTCATCTCTTCTGGGCATCCACCCTTTAGGTACCTCTCTCTCTGTATTTAAATGTCATTTTTGTTTTTCTCTTCAAAACCCAGATCTTCAATTTTCTTGTTATTGTCAATTTCATGTTAAGTTTTGATTTTTTTTTTTTTGTTGTTTATGCTAAGTTTGATGACTTGTGCAGATGAGAAGTACTTTGGTTCACAGGTCATAAAGTGCAAGGATGGTTCAAAGTCATTCAGCAGAGACCGTCTTAATGATAATTTCTGTGATTGTCTTGATGGGACCGATGAGCCTGGTATTATGTTGCTACTTTATTTTCCATTGGCACTATTTTGATTGAGAAGAGATTTGCCTTGGGGGTTTGACTTACTTACTCATAATTGACATGTGAAGCTTTGGAAATATGATTTGATTTTGTTAGTATGTTGGTGTGGCATATGCTTGTACAATGTTAAAGTTTGATCCTTTAGTTGATGGGTCTAAAATCTTTGCTTTGTGTTGATTTTGCATATTTGCATTGGGAATTCAAGAAGTTTGGCGCTTTGTTCAGAGCAATATCTTGTTGTCTTAACTTCATGGATGATTATACAGATTGTACAAATTGAATGTGTGACTCTTCCATCTCTCTCCTTCCATCCTTACTATGCATGAGCCAGCATGCTTTGTTTATTGATTATGGGTTATATTCTCTTAGCATTCCATGCCTTCTCACTCATTCATGTTGGCTGTGATTTTGATTTGTATGCAGGAACTTCAGCCTGCCCAAGAGGAAAATTTTATTGCAGGAATG